TCAGTATGCTTTCTGCTGATTTACTTCTTCCTAGGTTATCCAGCAGCCACAGAGCCCTGCTGCTAATCACTTGGCCCAGGGACAGCCTTGAGTTGTGGTACAAATAAATGCTTTTGCTTAGCACAGCATTCAAAACAGAGAGCAGGGTTACATACTGGGGTTGTTTTAATGAGGCTTCATCTGACTTTCTCAGGAGATATATCTTCACTGAGAGCTGAATCTGTGGTCTCCTGTTTTGTCATATTCATCCTCTTTTCCCACCAGCTGCACTCTTAAATTATTTTGCCAATCTCCCAATACTTTTGTATCCACTTTGCCCTCAGGACAAGTGGCTTCTCAGAAGCATTTGCTGAGGCTGCTACAGGCAGAATCAACTCCAGTATGACTTTAGATGTTCACAAAACAGGACTGCAAGAAATTGTGCTGTATGTCTTGCAAGGGGAAATGATTGTGTGCTGAGCTTCTCTCCTCAGAGGGAAATTGCTTAAATAGTATACATAGGGCCTTCTGCTGCTGCTATGTGTTACCAAAGATAGTTGAGAGGGTCTGTGTACGCCATGGATTGCACTTCATGCAGGGGAACCCCAGTTCTGAGGTTTTTTTCTATGTGCTGATGCAGTTCACATTAGACAAAGATGAATTACCATAGAGAATATCAAAGAGCGTAAGCATGGACAAAGTATAACAGACTGGTTCCACCCTATTCTAAAGGAAGAGGATAAAAATGAACTTAACCTCAGCCAGTCAGGAAGAACCTTTCCAGTTCTTTCTGAGTACTGAGGAGTGGGAAGGATTCTCAGCCATCCTGCTTTCCTGTTTTATTTGGCCTGATTGCCTCCCTCCACACACCATTCACACATCAGAAGTAGAAAGCCAACTGAAGTTACTTCTTTTTCTTGTGCTACAGGCTTTCCTTGCCCTTGTGCTAAAGTACTCTTTACTGTAAAAGTAGATTCCCACTAGATTAGAGACAAAGAGTGCAAAGGAAGACATTGGATTGGTCTTCATTTTCCACTTCACCAGAAACACAGCATGAGGTTATGCTACCTCATTATAGACACTGGGGAGGCATGTGATCCCTCGTCAAGAAACTTAACTTAGATTAGAAAATAATAACATTATTTTGACTAACTTATTCCATATGGCTACTTGATAAACATGTGGGATACCATTATTTCTTTGACCTTCTGTATTTTCACTGTTTTGAATTATACTCTGGCAATGGAAAATCAACTCTGATAAAACTAAAAGTCAACGGTACTTTTCTAACTTCTCCAGATAAGTTTTCATCTGTGTGTCTCTTACAAACAGCCCTTCAACATCATTTTAGGATGAGTATTTTAGTATGTTCTAAATGCAGGGAAAGCCTGGGATTTTTGATTCATTGTACTGGACAAGCAGTTTTTAGCTGCACTACTTTCAAGTGACTGCCTGCCTAAAACATTTTGAGGAAATGGAAAACACTCAGCACATTAAGTGTATTTAAAGCAAAATGAATTCAGTTATAGCAGCATTTAAAGTATTTTGCAACTAACTGTAATTGAGTGCATACATTTCATTTGCAAGTACATACATTGGAAGCAGAGACAGAATGGACAGATACAGGCAGAGGCAAAGGAAAGTGGAGTACAAAGGAGATGATTTTATTGACTTCTTTCTCTTGAATATCACACACCCATGCTGCTGCCATGCCAGAAGAGGCTCCCCATCCAGCCACCCTCAACTCCAGGCACGTGGAACAGGTTTTGTTCTGTGGGAAATAATGGCAGAGGGGAGCTGCCTTTTGATGAGCCTTGCTAACTTGAAGCCTCAAGGGCCTTCCTGCCCAGCTGCACCCCCTCAGCCTCTGCTGCTAGGAATAACACTGGAAGCACTGGGAGTGCCATCTCCATTGATTCTGCACCAGGTTGGCAGCACCAGCTCTTACATGCCTTGTCTGGGGTCAGCTCAGTTCAAGGCAGTTAGTCTGCCCTTTGCTGAGCAGGTGTACATTCGAATCTGTCCTCCCAAAGATGACAGGACTCCAGGCACTGAGATGTTTAGTTTACTTTCTTTGAGATCTGTGGTTCAGTTGCCAGTAACACTAATAGAGTCGGAATATAAATCACAGTGAATGTAAACCATTTGGGCTTCAGTGTGCTGGGCACATATCCATGTAGAGAGAAGGGCAATTAAATCCTCTTGCATTATAAACCTTATAGAATCAGGCTCTGGCTGAGGTCTTGCACATATGGGAATTTTCTCTAGTGAAGCCTGATGAGTCGTAGTGATTGTTGCCAATAATGTGGATAAATAAAAGGCTTAACAATTAGGAGAGAAAGGAAACAAAGATAATACACCTGTCAAACTTGTTGTATTATTAATGTGCAAGGGAAAAAACGTTATGCTTGTGCATGCTGTTGCCCTCAGTACCAGCTGTTGACTGTGCGCATGAATCCGTATTTTACATGAGCTGAATGGCCTTGCTGCCAGCAAGCCCTCCAACAGGCAACATTGATAACAGCAATCTACCCACACTCCATACAATTCCAGCTATTCTTCAAATTAATAAAAATGCTTAATAAAGCTTCATCTCTCATTTGCAAAGAAAACCTTCAATTAATGTTAATCAGCATCCTCAGAATGTGATCAGGCTGGGTTTGTAGCTGGATGTGCTGAAACAGTTCAACTGGCAGATGGAGCATTTTTCAACTATTTTAATTAATGAATGCTCATTTCAAATGTTAATGCAATTAAATAAATAGGCAAAACAAATAAAAATAATATACATTATGAAACTGCCACTATCAGAGGAAGTTTTGAACAAAAAAGTGAGCCATGCTCAAACCCAAGAAAAGCCCAGCCATCCTCTGCTGGCTATGTAAGCTCTAATAAAGACAGGGCTTGCTTTTGTTACTTGCTTTTTTCAACTTTTCTCAGGGATTGACATTTATATCACTTCCATTTTAACCTGCTGGCATCAACTGAGTCATTTCTTCTCCAAGTATTAGAACATTTTTCTGCAGAAAATGAGAAAGGATTTCCTTCGCGTATTAAGAGACTTTCTTCATGTAAGATTCAGGCTGCCCCTGCTTCTTACCTCTTTCTATTTGAACTAATTGCCTGATTTTTTTATTTTTTTTTAAGGCTTTACTTTCTGTGAACCTTGTATACCATAGCACTGATGTAGTCCCACATTCGTTTGGGTTTATAAAGAGTTCAATTAGCCCCTTAATGCCTAGTTCAGTCACAATTAAACCTTCCCTGTTGACTCGGCATTGGTCTTTCTAAAGGCAGTGGAGGTGTTTTTAATTATTCATTTTCTGGTTTGTTTCTTAGAGCAGTCTCAGCTGTGCTTTATTATTCAAAGGTTAATGCAAACTGAGAACTGGGTAAATTAAATTTGTTTGGCAGCTAGCAACTTGATGTATTGCAGACATTGTGAAATATGGATGGGTGGGTGGGTGGATGGATGGATGGATGGCAAACAGTCAACACTTTGCTTCTGTGACATTTTAAAAGCCAGATTTTATCTTTAAAACAATTGTTAGTTGTGTTACTATGGCTGATAGCTAATTAATGTTCCATAATGTTATATTCTCTGTAACCCATTTTTGTTAAGAAAGCACATAGTTTAGAAAGCCAAGAAGCATTAACAGCTATTAGAGAAAATTGATGTAGGTACCATGACTAATGAACTATGCCGCACTAAGACACTGCATTGTATGAAGGGAATCATGCAGTCAGAAGTTTTAATGAAGGGAGCCCAAGGAATTTCAGGTGAAAGAGGGTTTTATTAACTTTCAGCGAACAAAATGAATAGTTGAGTAGTGAACATGACATGATGTCGTATAATAATTGTATGCCTTGGGTACATTGTGAGGCATGGAGCATAGCCAAGAGCTTTCATCTGTTCTGTGCGCAGGGTTATTTCACTAACCCTTGCATACTGTGGAAATCTTTATTGCAAATATAACAAGAATAGTTTCACAAGAAATGCCTTAAGACAATACCACGTCACTTATTTGAAAAATCTACCAACGCTGCATTCCTTTGAAAAATATTAATCAGATATTCAGAAGTTCCCATCCCAACTGATCCTAATAAAAATTCACATCCTGTTTCAATGACTTGTCTCAGCAGGCTGTGAACTAAAAAGAATATCTTCATATGTATCTTCATATACCTTAAGAGGCCACTCTGGGTAAAATACATCTTTCTGTGGATGAGCATTATGTTGTATGTATATAAGTTTTTGGAATAGTGATGCCCAAAAAATTCATTAGTTTTTAGTTTGCTTTTTCCAAGCATTGACTGTGTAGATAAGAGATTTTTCTTGTTTCATGTATAGAACCATTTATCATAGATTTTAAATATTGTTTCAGTACAGTGTTTTTAAGTGAGAACTTTGAAATAACATAATCCAACATTTGAACCTGCTTCTTGTTTATGACTTTTTAAGACAGTGTAAAAATTGCCATCTAAAGCAGCTTTCTGCACTAGTGACAGGAGTCCTTAGGATAGTAACTTAGAAAGTGCAGCTGCAAGGTCATTTGTACCACGCTGTCATTAGTACAGTATGTGCTGTAAATAATGTGTGTAATTACGCTGCTACTGATGAGGTAGGTAGATGAGAAGGTAGATGAAAATAGGATGGCTTGTGAGGCAAGACGGTGACAAGGCATCTCAGCAAAGTCTCTGTATCCTTGCACAGTAAATACTTCACATCTGCCCACTAAAATATTTGAGATAAGACCGTCAGGAATATTTCTATGCTTATTTGAATAATTTATAATGTGATTTTAATACTTCTTCCTGGCTGAATATATCGCTTCACTGACAGAGCTCAGGACACCAGTAAGATGTGTCATGCAGGACTAACTAATCAACTACAGTACTCAATTTCCAACCCACAGCTCTGCTGCAAATCCAGCACTACTAGTAGTAGAGTGTAACTGATGCAGTATTTTCTTAATTGTATGTGGTTATTATGTTATTTTTTTGTTTGTTTTCTATTTTAGTGCTGGACCCAAAGGAGACAACATTTATGAATGGAGGTCAACTATACTGGGACCTCCAGGGTCAGTATATGAAGGTGGAGTTTTCTTCCTTGACATTACCTTTTCACCGGACTATCCTTTTAAACCACCTAAGGTTAGTAGGAGGATATTAAAAGTCTGACAGGAGTCCTCTCCTTGTGATATTTTTAACATCTATGTTGGTATACTGTTGTAGGATGAAATATAAAACTTTCAAGGCAATAATGAATATTTAAACAGAGTGTTTTGATGGAAAGAATTTAAATGATTGCCTAAAATTTGCTTGCATGTCTCTGGTACAGTTGGATAGATATGCATTTATTTAGCAAACGGTTGTATAATTTCCAGCAGTTATTTGTTTGATTTGGATTTGTTTCAACTATGAAGGTAATTATATTTGAGTTGCATCTTTTGTAAGCAGCTGAAGAATCTTTCCAGTTGACCCATATCATTCACCACGGTCTGTGGCAGCCCAACAAAATATGCACCTTTTGTGCTACCTCATACAAATTACTTCTGCAGATGCAGACTACACTACTCATTGCAAAGATTAATTGCTTTGTGTTGGTTTTCTGGACGGCTTTGGAAATATGTCTGCAAAGAAATTGGGTAGGAAGTCAAGAATTAACGGAATTCCTTACAGATTTGTTTTCTAATGCTGTCAATAATGATGCTAACCACAAAATGTAAAGCTCTTCCAATAATATGAAGCTGGAAGATCATTACCATGACAGAGAAGGCTTAGAATTTCATACAGGAAATATCTAGTGGTTTTGAAGACCAGAGAAACAGAAATGGGATGAAGAGGAGTAGTGTAAAATGTCACTGCTAACCAATAGTAATAACTGTTGAGAGAGGATGTCAGAATGGGATATTTTGGTTGATCACAGGATTATTGCAAACCACCAGCCTAATGCATCTGAAAAAAAAAAAAGCAAATACATTCCTAAGATGCATCATCTGACATCTCCTACAGAGATAAGGAATTGCTGGCATCATACACAAGACATTTGTAAGACTTCATCTGGAAGACTGACTACAATTCCTAACATCCATTTTCACTAGCATAAGGAGAAACTTTAAAATTTACCCAGCAAGGCTGTTAATAGAATTAAATAAATTGATGGGCCTGTGTATTATGAAACAAAGTGAAAGTAAGTTAATTTTCCACTTTCCAAGTGTAGACAGTGAGGTTTTGGAACAGGCCCCCGTAAGAGTTGTGGAAGCAAAAATGCTTCCCTGTTTTTGACACAGATGTGAAAGGTTTGAGATACCACGTTTGCCTATAACAGATGAGATTGCAGTGAAAGATAAGTTGATCCCTATTTGGTTGCTGTAATATATTTAAAGAGGAGCAATTTAAAATAAAATTTTAATGCAGTGATAGTAATGTTTATAGTAGTTTAAATTATTATCAGGAAAAAAGTGTTAAAAAAAGAGTAAGAGATGAGTTCAAAATACTTGTCATCTTCAAACTGCACTTTCCCAATCAGTGGCCTAAAGATGGGACAAAACCACATGCTGTAGCAGATAGAGATGACCTAAGTTTGTTTCCCATTTGTAGTGTTCCAGTTTAGGGAAACTTTGAGGTCACAGACAAATATACAGGAGTTGTAATCTATGTTGACCATAGATTTTCTGATTTAAATAATTGTGATTGTGCAATGAAAAAAAACATTGAAACTTTATAACTGGAGGTTTCTGTTAGTCAATTAAAGCATGGAACACTGAACTCAGGCAATGCTCTCTTCTCCTTACTTTCCTTCTATTTATTTATTGAGTGTATTTGTTTAGTGGGTATTGGCATATCCACTGAATGGATTTCTTGAGTATAAAGCAGAAGAAGAAGTTCTCACAATGATCCAAACCTGATACCTAAAGAATTATATCTGGAAAGCAGGTTGCAGGGTTGTATTTTCTCCTTCTTTTTGTTGAATCTGTTTTAGGCAAGGTGTACAACAGCATCCTTTTAAAATAGAATGTAATTGTCCAGTTTTGTTTCCCCATGAGACAAAGACTTTTTCAGTCCACCCTCAGTTGTGTTTGGCAAGTGTTTTATTTTCAGACACGAATAATGCAGGTGTGCATTGCTTATTAATGAAACATCAAGCGAAGTGGTGGTTCTTACTCTGCTTTTTAATACATTTTTTGTCTGTCTTTATCTTGAAGTCAATTGTCATTGTGAAAAATGTGTGCATATAAATCATATGAAAATGTACTGCTTGATAAAAGACAAGATAGCATATTGTATTACTAAAAGGGCAGTATTTATGGTGAGAGAAATTGTTATCTATAAGAAAGTAATGAGTACATGTGCACAGGGGACTAGAGTGTCAGATAGAACTAATATTTCACTAGTGTATTTTGTACACATAGATTCTTATTCTATTCACTTGAGCCACTGTCATAAATAAACCCTATTTTCAGTCCCACTGTAAGAAATCGTAAACTGTTGCTACTTCATTACACATTTTTTTCAGATCCTGTGAAATTGATTCACAGGTTAAATAGTCTGGGAAGTCCCTTGAATAAAGCAGTGTGGAAAGATGACTATGACAGTCATAAGGTAGCTGCTGTCAGTCAATATCACTAGGAAATGGTATCTAAATATGTTCTCAAAACACTTACTTCTAGCTAAAGAAGCTGGTTATGTGGAACATAACATAAGGCATCACTGTACAGTGCTATCCGTGTCACTGTGCTGGCAACTCTTCTGCTTCACCACGAGATTTGTGATATTTGGGACTCTCGTTAAAATCATTGTTCTTAAGGTTATGTGAATAAATAATCCTAGAATTTTTTAAAGGATATCCCACTCTTCACAGCTCAAAAAAGTTTAAAAAAGAAAAAAAGAAAGAAAAAGAAAGAAAAGAAAAGTAGAGTGAAAATACATAACTGTGAAACATACTGAGAAGGACATAAAATGTATCCCTAACTGTTGGCAAGGTTACCTCCATGTCAGTACATGGCAGAAAGGGATTAATTCATGTTTCTTGCTATGATTGAATTCATACATTCCTCCTGAGATTTCTGTGGGCCACTTTCATCCCTCTTTTACCATGAACTAAGGAAACATTTAAATGAGTACTGTCAAAACTGATCTACTAAAAATGTGACCACAGAAGACCAGGGAAGAAACAGAAACTGTATTTCCCAGATGTGATTACTTGATCCAGCTTGAGGTTCCAAGGCAAATGCCTGTGTCACATAGTTATTGTTATTAAAGGGCCTAATCCAAAGTGTATTAAAATCTACAGAAAGGTTTTTACAAGCCCTTTTCCAAATCTATTTTGAGATGTCGCATACTGTTATCATGCATGTGCATTTTGTAGATGCATGCTGGGAAGCGAAAAATAATTTCTAAATTAAGAAAATAAATTAATATATTGAAAGTAAATTCTGGATCAATATACTTTATTTTTTATTATTTTAATTTTTTTTTTAATGATGTAACCTTTTTTTGTTTTGTATTATACAAGGATCTTCATATTTTCTAAAGGATCCAAATTCCTTTCATAAACAGAGTTAATGCTTATTCTGACCATATTGATCAATTCTGCTTCATATGGGAAAACACAGATTAAAATTAAAAATCTGAGGGCACATTTGCACATGAAGAAAAGATGCTTCAAACTGTTTTTTGAGAATGAGGGGAATGTACAAAGTCACTTTCATTTGTTTTTCCAGATAGCTAACCTGCTTTCGTCAGTTTTTTCACCTTTATCTCGATTCCTTGCACTTTGTGCCTCATTTTATGTTTGTGGTTTTGTACATGCAAACATCACCACCATCAGGCTTCCCTTCAGTCTTTCCCCTACAATTTTCCTTCTATCTGCCTGTGAAGTGACACTTGTTATGTCAGTATCTCTCTAAAGCTGGGCCATAACCATAATATCAAAGTAAGTTTTTCTTTTCAACAAACTAGAAGATACCACGTGGTAGGTCAGAGCATAATTTGCTCTCATGATTTTTATTTTTCCCCTTTGAAGTCAGTCTATTTCCATCTTTCAGCTTGGTCTCATGCCTTGAAACTGGACTCTCAGCTTTCTGAGCCAAACTTCAGCTCTGTTTGCCTTGAGGACTCGTGGCATTTTGCTTCAATTTGCCATCCCAGACTAACTTCGATTTCTCTGTGTAACCAGAGAATGAGATTTTTAGAACAACTCATCTGCAAATGGACAAATTAGCTTTGGCTTTCTGGGATGCCCTAATCAATTACAAATCCTGGTTGGCCTCCACTGCAAGGAAGTTTCAGTAACTCCATGGAAATAAGCTGAACAAGCCAAGAAGTGGGCAACCTGCAGAACCACCCCAAACTTACAGCAGTGCCCCAAGTCTCACAATGGGTTTACGAAATGCTGAACAATATATACGTGATCTCTGCCAAAGGCCAAATGCTAGTGAGATTTCAGTCTTGGTCATAAGGTCATAAGCCCCAAAATGAGATGTCTGCCTCATAGAGCAGCAAGTTCTAGAATCAAGAAAGCTGCAGCCTATTCAGAGAAGCCACTTAAAGAAATGAAGAAAAGTGCTTAGATGGCTTGCCGAAGAAATAACCTTGCATTTCTCCCATGCTTTAATGACCTCTCAGCCCTTGTGAAAATATCTTTGAGATTTTTTTTTCCTGCTATCTTCCTTTCCTCCTTAACGGATTCAGACAGTTCTCTCCTTGACTTTTACAGAGGAAAGCTCTCTCTCTTGTTTCGTCTCTCCCTCTCCAGGGTTTTGGATGGGATATACAGCTTGTATAAATAGGTGGATGTGTATCTGTGGGTGTAGGTAGGTCTCTCTGAAAGTAATGCCTCCCATTTATTTTCATGGAAACTACAACAGATAGAAAGAACTCAATAACACTATTAGATAGAGCAAATTCTCAGCTACAAGACACTATTTTTACAACATAGTCATCACTATTAGCCATGCATTTTCACCAGCTATGAACAAGAGCCCTCATTATATATGCCCATAAAAATCTGCACCAGCAGTGATGACCCACCGTCACTGTCACCACTGCTGAAATGCACTATGCACCACCTCACTGTACTCACATCCACTCTTTGGTCTCCAGAAATGTTCGGGAAGTGTCAATGAATGTCATTGGGTGCCTTTTTTTTT